GGCGTACCTGGGGGTAAGGACAGACAGACGAGGCGAGAGAAAAGGAGACGGAAGGATGAGGAGAAACAGATACGAGAGAGGAAAAGAAAAAAAATAAATTATCGGTCCGGTTCCCGGACACACTGCCGCTTGGTCCTCAACCGGCTGAGAGGCTCTCACTCGCGGTGCCATGCGATGGTACTGGACATCGTTGGTGGACGGCCCACCGCTCCTCTGCCTCCTGGCGGACAGCGTTGGCTCCTCCTGTTGAGGGCAGCCGGCAGCGAGTCCCTCGTTCCCGTCGGGAAGAAGGAGGCGGGAACCGGCGAACATTTAAGATTTTAATAAAATAAACAAACACAAAATGAAAGTAAAGCGGCAGCCCCTCGCGGACGAATGCCGCACACAAAATACAAAATAAAATCCAGGCCTGGTCCTCTCTCCTCTTTCACTGTCGTCACTCCTCCTTTTATCCTTCCGGAGCTCCTCCGTGGGACTCGAGACCGGTGAGTGGTGCAGGTGTCGCTCATTATCAATTACTCCACCGGCCTCACTCCGTTCCCACGGCTCTCGGCCCCGCCCCCACTCGTCACAGATATAAACTGACAACAAACATGTTCTGGGATGAACCTGACATTCTCAGCCTGATCCAGGCTCTCCTTCCTCAGCCTAAAAACAAAAGCTGAACCCTATAGTGACATAAGAGAAAAACTGATCTTAGGTCAGAGACTCACCGTTGACTGTGAGGTGCACCCAGCTGCCATTGTGAAAGGTGTGGTACTGTTGTTCCAGCATCAGCACCTTGCACTCGTACCAGCCCTGGTCTTCCGAGCGAACCCTCTCAATGCGTAGAGATGACTTGCCATGCAGGCTGGCTCGGCCTGTGGAGTTCAGAGACAAACGAAAGATGTGAGAGATGCTCTAATGGTATCCAAAACACCCGTCTACCACAAAACAGCAAGTAAAATGTTTAAATAAATCAGTTTGAGACACAAATATTACTCAATTTACATTTCAAATGACATTTAAAATTATAATGAAGTGATAATTAAAACATTTATTTCAGAATGTATTTTATCTCAATTAAATTTATTTTAAAAACTAAATCAATCTTATTTATTAATAATTATTTGTATACTTAATTATTTTTAGTATTATTTTTTATTCACACCACTCTAAGCTGGTCTTTTAATACATGCTAAAACTTTCTGGTTTTGTACATGAAACAAAAAAGCCTAAGGACATTTACACATTTAATTCAAGTAAAATAAATCTAATTGTTTATCTTCGCACTAGCAATAATGTACACAGCCTGGGTCCATAGTGGCATCACTGTGTGATGTTTTAGTGACAGCAGTGTCAGGTCCAGGGGCCGTGAAGGCTGAAGTGAGAGCCGAAGTGGCCCACAGTAATTTCTGACACTCCCATGAGCACATGGAAAACACACATCTCTAATCACGCCAGACATGGACAAATCCATCATGACACTATGATATAGCTGTCTTCGAGGGTCAAGCAGAGAGGGGGATTTATGCCTTTTTCTCTATATTCTGCCAACAGTGCTGGACAGATGGCAGGAAACAATATCAGCACAGGCAGAGGGATTGCAAGACAGCAGCGTTAAACGCTATTAAGGGCCTGTATTTGTCCTCAAAAAATACAATGTACAATGTATTTTTCAATACAAAAGGCATTACCACAGCAAATATGCAGTCTGAAACGAATTTGTTATAGTCCCACAGCATACAAAATAAAATAATATTATGCAAATGAACTCAATATCTTGCATGCGCATTAGTTGGATGGTCTGAAAACATTTTTGTGTGTGTGATTTGAGCTAAAGAAGCATAACTTATTGTTAGATATTATTCTTTTTTTGAAATAGTGTTACGCTGACAAACAATTTCAGACATTTGTGTCTTTCTTCACTCGAATAGAAAGCAGCACTATTAGGGCGACTGGAAATAGTACACTATTGTGCCCACTGAACACCAAGGTCACACAATCAAAAAAACTTCAGAAATATTCCTTCCACACAGCTTCTGTGAGGCCCTGCAGATCAATAACACTGAAGGAGAACCAGAAGCGAAACGAGAGCGGTCAAACGTCCGGCCTATTTTTACAGCTGTGAGAGAGTGTTGATGGGAGCTAGAGAAACAACGCTGACATGCGATGTAGGTTAAAGATAGTTCTCAAGAAGTGACACGCTGGAGGTCAATACAGTATGGAAGCATGAAACTGCTTCTCTTACATTCATATTCTTTTCATTTTTTTCTCTTGTTCTTTCTCTCTCTCCCTCATTAAGTTAAAGGCACAGTTCAAACCTGTGTGCGGAAGACAAAAGCAGACTTTTTTGAAGAACTTTGAAGAATTTGACCCCACTACCTTCATATGGTCAAAACAAAAAAAAGAGGAAGAAAATGAAGGTTTGGAACGACACGAGGGTGAGTACATTATGCAATGTTATTATTGTTCACTAAAACTAACACTATTAAAAATAATTTCTGTTCACTGAAATAAAGCTGAATAAAATTGTAGCAAGACTTTCGAAACATCTGAAATATATACAGTACATTTAAGTTGAAGAACTTAAAATATTAAAACTAAAATAAAAAATATATATATAAAAAAATTGACAAAAGCACATAACAATATTTTTATTAGGACTTGAACTGAAATTAAAAAGAAAATTATAAAATAATTTATAAATAAAAAATAAAATAATAAGGTAATACAAAATATAATAGTATATAAATAAAATAAAATCCTTTCATACACAAATTAAAATAGTAAGGGTTTTGCTGTAAAGCTGTACTTAAAATGATTCAGACATGCTTCAATGCATGATGAGAACCATAGTCCTGCCTCCAGCACCACAGGCTTTTTTTGTGCAGTTCCTGGGGAAAACAAGACTAAAACTTTTCAAGCATCGCTATTTCAACTCTATTTAGAATTAATGAATAATACAGTGTCTTTCAGATATGTGGACACTTTATCATCTCTCAATCTCATGGTTATGCAAAGACCCAATACATGGGATTTATATGGAGTCATTTGGTGGACATTTGATATCTATGCCTGAGTTATGCTGGATGCACACCAGTTACCATTACAGCAGGGGTCTCATGCACTAAGACACAGAGCTACTGTAGATGTGCAGAGTAGAGCTATTAATCTGGAGGAGGCAGTGTCCAATATAAGGCCAGAGGTCAGAGGAAATACACTGCTGAATGAGACCTCATGTATATATAGGTCACAAGGTCATCTATGGCAATTATAGATCCTTCTCTGTGGAACAAATAAAAGACATGTGGAACTTGTGCTTCCTGTGTGGAACGATACAAATAGAACAGTATGTACATATTACTGCAACAAACAAAGATGTTACTGATATATGTACTACACACATATTAAAAGGATAGTTCACCCAAAAATGAAAATTACCCCATGATTTACTCACCCTCAAGCCATCCTAGGTGTACATGACTTTCTTCTTTCAGACGAATACAATCGGAGTTATATTAAAAATGGCCTGACTCTTCCCAGCTTTATAATGGCAGTGAAAGGGGGTCGAGATTTTGAAGCCCAAAAAAGTGTGTCCATTCATCATAAAAAGTGCTCCACATGGCTCCGGGAGGTTAATAAAGGCCCAAAAATGAAAATTACCCCATGATTTACTCACCCTCAAGCCATCCTAGGTGTACATGACTTTCTTCTTTCAGACGAATACAATCGGAGTTATATTAAAAATGGCCTGACTCTTCCCAGCTTTATAATGGCAGTGAAAGGGGGTCGAGATTTTGAAGCCCAAAAAAGTGTGTCCATTCATCATAAAAAGTGCTCCACATGGCTCCGGGAGGTTAATAAAGGCCTTCTGAAGTGAAGCGATGCATTTGTGTAAGAAAAATATCCATATTTAAAACTTTATAAGCCGTAATCTCTAGCTTCCGCTAACTGTCGTACGCGCGTTCACGAGAGAGTGGCAATCCAGTGGATGACGTAGGACGTTAGGTGTTGCCCAAAACTGATAAAAAAAATTAATATTTTAATTTAAATTTAAAAAAGTTTTATATGTATTTTTAATACTTAAAAAACAATAAATAACCATTATTTAAAATGCACTATACGAATTATTATGCAATTAATTTTATTTTGTCCAAAATACATAAACAAAAACTAAAATCAATCATGTTAAATGCAGTTAAAATGATTCATTAAAGTTTTTGGTTTTTAGTGTTTTATTTTTTATTATTATTTTATTTTATTATGTTTCTTATTTCTTATTTTTGTTTTATTATTATTATAGACAAAATAAAATCGGCGACTGGCTAAAAATTTCAAATAAGATTTCATATCAGGCACATCCCAGGTTTCAAGCACCAGCAGCAACTGCCTTTGAGATTTTTTTATTTCTTAATTTGTTTAAAAAAATACAGCTCAGCACTGCACAATCGCTGCTGGAAATTCAGCTGTGGATTCAGGATGAGAGAAAGTAAAAAATAAAAAAAACTTTGCAATCTCATTACCATTCACTCTCAGTGAGAGCCATTAAAATTGCATATCCTGCCCCGAGCCACGTCTGATAAACTATCACAGTTTCTTTGCTTTTATAAATCTGACATGCTCTTAAAATATGCCCTTTCTGTTTCCACTCCTTATCAATGATGTAATTTCCAATCTCAATTAGGAAGAAAAGGATCGTATTTGATCTCCCGCGCTCCCCTCCACCCCATCCCAAAACCCCTTTCATCTGTTCGGCTGATGCTTTGCTCTTGAGATCAGCACCTATTTCACCTGTCCACAGATCTGGACCGTCAGATACACAGGAGCAAAAGATAAGAGCTTTCTTCAAACCAGCCCACACGTTTCGATTCATAATCTGTTGACACGGCCGGCTCTTGCCCTGTGATAAAGCTTTCAGCCTCTATGAGCAAGATTAAATAATGTGCTGAGATCTGGACTGATCTGGCTGATTTCAGAGACAACAGTAAGATATCTCCATTTCAGTGGGTCAAACATACGACTAAACGACCTGCTGTGATACCCTACATATGAGAAAAAAAACGAAAAAAAAAAAACAGGTGAGCTATCCTTCAATTATAAATGCAGACCAGCAACCTATATTTATTGACAGATTACTGACCAAATGAAAACTTGTCATCTTACAGGCCAAAAGCAAAAAACAGGCAGATACTGATGGGTTTGTAAATAAGATAAGACATGGTTTTAAGCTATTCGTAAGCTACAATTTTTTTAATAACTATTTAATTGTAATATACATGACTGTTCACACTGCGGTCGCATTCTAAAACATCTGACCTGTATCAGATTTAGTACCACATATGGAAGTGGCACAAATCGGAATTGAAAAGATCAGATTCCATGTGGTTTGTGCTGTTCACACTGTCATGAGAAAAACAGATCCGAGTCACGTCGGATTTGGGCCCCATTTGCCTGCAGTGTGAACGTAGCCTTAGATCATAAAAAGGATGAGATGTGGAAAGGCATCCTTCCATGTTTAAAACAGGGTTCACATAAGGGTAATTTTAGGAAAATCATACTTGTTGTGATGAAACAGTTTGGATATATTAATGGAGGCTGTTTTATCTGATGAAGACTGCAAATAATGACCTCAGACCAAACAGACACTTACTGTTCACTAATTTCATGTGACAAATCAGAGCCACATGAGAAAAAATAAGAAGTCTGGAACAGCAATAATTGGAAAGAAACATTTCAACAGTATTTATCTCATAAAGAAGGCCAAATTGTGTTTTAATGCAATTTAATGTGCATATTGGTGCATGAAAAAGCTTCATTCATGCGAAATGAAATAAATAAATAGATGTCACTACCAACGCAAAAAAAAAAAAAAGCTTGAAAAAAAGAATGTCTAAAACTGATGTAAAATTAGTGAATTTCCTTCATTAAATATAATAATTCATTATTCAATTTAAAACATATTTACAACACTGTCCAAATGATACAAAGTGGCTTTATTTCTGTGGAAAATGTAATAAAATGTGGTGGAAATCAGAGCTCACCGGCGTACTCGGGGTCCACGTGAGGAGGGTAGAAGCGGAAGTTGATGAAGAAGGGGATGGGCACTCCAAACTTGAACCACTCCACCACGTAGGGCTGGCCGTTGAGTGGGTGAGCCACGTCACATCCCAGAATCACGGTCTCCCCTGCGCGGGCCGTCACAAACTGGGGCTCCTCTCTGACTCCGTGGGCACCTGTGAGAACATATGGACTTTGATGAAGATAGGATTGTACCAAACACTCTGAAACTGCTTTGGGGAGCAATGATTCATCTAACAGCTGAAAACAGACTTTGGTTAGTAGATCAAGTAAGCCTGTAGACTAAAGCATTGATTGAAGTTCAATTCTGCATAAATTAACTATATCCGGATATCCTGAAACTATTTTACTAATCAATATATACACATTCATTCTCTATTCACTACGATGCCAACTATAATGATTTTTTTTGTCCCCTATTTAAAGTAATTTTTTTTTTTTTTTTAGAATTTTGAATAATGTAAAACATAAAACAAGAACTATTTAGATCCTGCATTACTTCTAGGTCACTAATCAAATAATCATATTTGTGACATTAATCATATGTACAGATTCTTACAGATGGTCAGTTGTTGATATTGTTGAAGCATAAAATGCTCTTCTGATTATTTTTAAATCATGCTGGATAACATAATCATCAGGCTTAAAATAAAAATTAAAATGTACAACAATGAATTAAAATGTACTCAATATTGGCAGGTCATGAAAGGTTTGTTTTGCGGGTTTGTCATCTCGCTAGAGTGCAGTCAAGTATTGTTTCCACGCAACAACAAACACAGCGCGAGCTGCAATGTCCGATTCAAATGAACTGGTTCTTTTTAATGAGCCAGTCAAAAAGATTCACAAAGTGAGTTAGCGGTCTGAATCAGATTCACTCAGCCAGTGAATCATTCAGAGCCATTACTGAGTTCACAACTGACTCCATCACTGAACTGAAGTCATTACAGTTATGTCAGATTAAAAAAAAATTATATGAACATGTTGTTCATATGAATCATGTAATTAAAGGTAAATAAAGGTATGTAATTAAATATTCACACACAGTTTGGCTAAAATTAATAATATTACAAAAAAAAAATTTTTTTAAATTATTCTAAACAATAATCTCTATTGAGAAAATGTGTACATTAAAACAATTAATTAATTCAACTCTTAAATGTTCCATTTTCCTTTACCAAGCAAATGCAATCAGAAGCATTTTCACCAGTGGTCTCAGATTTTTGGACCCCACTGTATGTCTCACACACCTGAAAAGCAACCACACTAAGACTGATCTAAATGAATGAGTTTTATTAAAATCATAATTTCCTAGAAAGCTATATAAGGTATAACACAGTATCAAACAGACTTCAAACTGCTGAAACTGCTATCAACCTTTCAACCTTTGCTACAGTAACCGTGACATCCAAGCTTATCTTGCACACAGCAAACAAATAGGTAATCAAAACTGATTAATCAAATATAATATTTGCATTAGATGGGATACAAATCCAAGTCTTCCTTTCCGCAGGATCAAAACTGACCTTGGCTTAAGGTCACTGGCTGATGAAAAACTGGTATAATCAGCGTATGAGAGTATGATAGCTTCCTTAAGAGGTGCATGACAGATAAAACAGTCTGGCTTAATCCAAGCCTAGGTGGACAAAAATTGATTTATTCAGTATGTAATTTCCTTTGTGAGGCACATCACATACAAAAATCTGGGGAATCAAATCACTGACTCATAATTGTGATTAGATATTCTCAGCTGCTACTTTTCCTCTCTGTCTCTCTCTCTCTCTCTCTCCATCCCTATAATAATGTGATGATGAGAGCCGGAGAGCCACCAACGCGTCCCTGTGCATATACCCAAGACTCCCGCTGCACCCACTACCTACTGCAGCAGCGCCTGCTGATTGGCTGCTGGTGACATCACCGGTGAGCAAAACAAGCCTTGGAAGGTATGACTTCACTGTTTGCACGACTGAGAGCAACAAGCGGTTAACAAGCTGCTCTCTCTCCTCTCCCCTCCAGATTTACTCCCGTTTACAATGAAAGACACAAGGGATCGAACCAGTCAAACCACTTGAGCCCTGAGAGGAAAAGGATGTCAATTTACAACAGAGTGAACTCGAGCATTCTGTGCACTAAAAATCCAAGTAATCCATGTTTTTTCATAAGATTTTTTTTTGGTAGAAGACAGTAGCATGTGCCCCTTTTAAACAAACAAACAATAAACAAATGGTAATTAAGTTGCCCAATTATTATTTACATTTGCATTTATATTTATTCATTAGCAGCTACTTATTCAGATCACTATTTCTGATATCAATGTGTAGTTATTAATATTATTAGTAGTAGTAGTAGTAAGTGAAGGGAAAATCGGATCATTTTACTGATACTCTTGCTTGATCTCGTGCATCAAAATGAACTAATCTTCAAAAGCCATTTTGTTAATTTGATGGTTGTTATATTTTGTTATATTTTCAACTGCTGAATTCCCTATATAAATGAATAAACAAATAAATATAATATACCTGTAACATAACATAACATATTTTTGCATGTTATTGCACAAGTACAAATTTGCACTAATATACTGATGGAAAGCATCAATATATTAGGCATACATTAACGATCTAGCAGCATATCATCTTCACAGATCTTGCTCAATATTATAAATGTAGCAGAAGACTGGAGGCACCATACTTCCTTTGAAAATCCCACTTAGGAAAGTAGGTCAAAGTAACCCGTAAGTGCTCCGAGACTGTAAAGGATTTGATTCAGAACAGTGTGTTTCTCTGAAAACACTGAATCAACACCCAACAGTCATAATATTGCCATCTATTTTCGCCAGTAACAAAATCAATATGGCAAGACAAATGAGAAATCTTAGTTAAACATAAAATCTATATACAGGAAATGTTCCAGTAAGTGTTTTTATCATCATTGCGCCAGTTCTTTAAATACACAAATTAAAGGCTACTGGCCATTACAAATATGTACTATTTCAATAGGATGTCACTACATGTAAGAAACTGGGACAGTCAAACACATATCATTAAACTAACACATTTCACCTGTTCAATTAATATTCCTGCTAATGTTTTAAAACACTGTTGTTTTAAAAGTTTGTTGTGCTTAAGAAAACGAATCAAGCATCTGTGTTAGCATCCATCAAGCATCTGACTATTTCAGAAGCAATCTTGTCAGATTGTTGTGTAACTTTAATGAGTGGTGATGAGAATTTCTGATTTGCAGTGTAAAAATCGCACACAGCAAATAAACAGGATGGATCCTGACTGTGCAATTACAGCTGGATGAGCTCACTGTCTGACAGAACAACCCGATGACAACTTAAAATGGTCTGTGTATGACTTGGGAAGAAAAGAAAAAGGTATAAAGACTGCAAATGGGCAAACACAAAGAAAAAGAATAAGAAACAGTGCAAATTAAATGACATTACCTCCCCTTGGTGAACAATAGCTTCCCCATTCATCTGCATCGGACGAGTCTGACAAGGCTGATAAAAAACAAAATATCATGGTGGCTTTGAACACTAATGACGCTCTAATGGAAGGGAAGGACTTGACCTAGTTCAGCTGGATCACACCACCCCTGCTATGGATCACTCACAGATTTCACACAAAACCCTCAGAGGTTCAGGCTCTCTGTTATCAAACAGCCCAAGCTGAGTCCCGACCGGCTCTTGTCTCCTCTAGCAGAGCTGCTCTCTGATTTCAGGTGACTTATGATCTTATGATTACAGTTTGGGCAGAATACACAGGCTCTTGAGCTAAGTAGTTAATAATTCTTTAGCTCATGTTACAATTTCATTCAAATGTGGATAATTAGATTATTTCATTCTACTGTATGCAGACCACAGATAACTGAAATTCTCTCTCCTTTATGACAATTTACTGTAACTATATTTATTGATAAGACTAAGTATACATACAATAGATCCTATAGGAAGACCCACACAGAATCTGCACTTATTTTGTAATGTCTTTTATGCTTATTGTGAAGGAAATTTTTGGATGGAGTTAAATGACTAGTTTACCCAAATATGATCACTTTGAATCGGGCTGAACGATTTTGGAAAATAATCTAATTGCAATTTTTTTTTACTAATATTGCGATTGCGATTTAATATGCAATTATTTTTTAAAGCTCTTTATGTTCTGTATTATTCAAAAAAGACAAGCTATAAATCATTGTATAGTATGACCAACACAATATTAGATAGATTAAACATAAATGTTATTTTCTGTAGGCCAGGCCTATATGTTATGATGAAATTAGGCGATGCATGAATTGATATGAATGACATTTTTATTTAACAACTACAATCGCAGTATATTGACTGATTTGTTCAACTTCCAACCTTGTAAGCATGTAATAATTATGACAACATAAAGCACTGACAAATAAGCTTGGTGTAAACATTAATATGAAAGTCAGTAATAAATCACACAAACTAAAGTAGATTGCAGAAA